GCACAATATCCCGTACAACTTTAACATTTCTAGTGGATGTTGCAGTTGTTTTTCTTCCCCTTCCTGGGTGGTCTTCTGTAGTATCGAGTTCCTCGAATCGTTTGATGGTGAAGTCCACGGTTTTCTGCTGACTAATAAAACTTTTGCGATGGTTCTGGAACAGCGACCCATCTGGTGTGACTGAATGATAACGGGTCTTAGAGGATGAGGCCCAACCATTTTGGAAGGAGTAAGAGCTGAGGATTGAAGCTTGTGCTAATGATCAAGGAAGAAGTGCTTAACATGTTTGCGGCTAATCGAGAGATCATCGCTGCATTAAGTCAATAGGTCGAACGCTGCAACTTTGAGCAAGTAATTTTGGCGCACCCTGTATATACATACATTGGAATTGGCTACGAAGATTCTCATAAAGTCTATTGAATATTAATGAGCAGTAATGGTTTTTTACTACATATACGTGAATGGAGAGCCAATCCTTTTTTTCTTCTCACCATTAGAACTCACCTTTCTGAATGATATTAAGTTCTACTTATATTATCAAAAGCACAACAAAACATTCCTGCAATCGCTTTCAGAATTCTATAGGATCGTGAGAGTATGAAGTTTGCCTCTGATTTTTGCTGAATTTCTTTACATAGACAAGATCGGCACTCACATGATGTGTATGATTGACGTTCAATCTCGAAATGAAGTCTGAAATCGCTTCGTCAGTATAAACAGTTGAACGTCAGTCATTGTTTAAACGATCGAACTCGAGCTTCTTTCACTTAACATTCACTTTTGTTCCTTGCGAGTTCCCTTAGTTTTTTCTTTAAATAATTTCAGTCATACTTTGACTATCGGCGTGCTCAATTACAGCTTTGTAAATGAATTCGATCAACTTCGAAGCAACCAAAGCGCTCCTCTCAAAAGAGTATCCGTTCTCTCTCCCGGCGATTCTCTGAATGATTCCCTGGGGTCTTCCTGGTTAAGGAGGGGTTAAGTTTCGTCTTAACGTTTTCCTTCACTGCATCAGTACTGACCTTTCAAAGTGATATTTATTTAATTTTGAGAAATAGCATCAGTACTGACCTTGCTGTAAACATGAATTTTCTTCATTGCTCACCGCCCATACTTCAGAGTGATGAGCTTTTTCGGTAACTCCCACCTAAGCTCGAGTTGTCATCTTTACAATGGTAAGGGATAGATTCATACCTCAAAGCAAGTTTCTATTACCAGAATTTTCAGCCCATCACTAAATCATTTTCTTCATGAACATGTGTCTTAATGTATCACTGGCCGTTCTATTCGTTCTGTTCTGTTCGTTCTATAAAAAGCTCCTCGGCGTTTTTCCAGCCTCTGCTCAAATTTGCTTCAATTTCGCTGAATATGTATTTAGCTGGATTCAATGAATGAATGTATTCAGTTTCTCAAGCACCGTTCGCTCCACTATTCATATTCAATATGACGTTTTTGTTGGCATTTGAAGAGAACAGCTTGAACATCAATTGGAAGATAGTTCCTTTTCTTGCTCTGTAATATAGGGTAGGAACTGAATATTTTGGAAACAACTATTCAACCCAGCTCTTGACTTGAGTCTCTGAAGTTTTAACCTATGAAGACTTCAATTTTAGTCGGTTCTAGCACACTATGTAGGTTGAATGGCATTCTCTGACATCGGGATATCACTCGCTACTACTTCTTATCCCTTTAAACCCTTTCTATTACCAATATGGCTTGGCACTCCCTAAGGCACGTATATGAAACATAGGCAGTGAAACTTTCATTTCAAAATCAGTTTCGTTTATCTAACTGCACTCACTCTTTTTCAAAATCTTTTTCGACCGTCTTGAGGGCTGTTAGTCAGTCGTGGTAAGCTAAGGATCTCACTTTGATCGTGGACATCCGATTAAATGTAATTCAACTTTTAGTAAGAAATGTAATTAATTCCCAGAGAGTTTACTTGTCTGTAATGGGTAACACGATCTAAAACTTCTCTTCCAACTTCTTCTACTTTCTCCTTTGCGGTCATTAGCCCTTAGTTAGAGGTTTTATTTCCCATTCAACCAGTACCGCCTGGAGGGCGAATACTACTGCTATTGACGACCCTTCTACGAGTTCCATCCTTCAACAGTTTCTCGACACCTAAATTTGCGGGGAATGCCGTGATTCCCCAGTGTGTGACCTGATTGATTAGGTTCAATTACATAAAAAAAAGTAGGACAGTAATACCAAGAAGAACAGTTTTTCGTGCTCCGTTATCGGGATAAGCACCAGCAAGTGAACAAATGACCTTTGAGTGAAGTGTCTGTAGTTGAATAGGGGTGAACGGAGGTAATGAGGGGTTTTTCTGTTATGTTCAACTTTTTTCCTCTACACACCCATATTAATAACAACGCTCTAACCACTATGGCCGGCTTCTAATGAAGGGATTCATTAATGAAGGACTCATGAGCTGCTTTATAACTCAGAATTTTGAAACCGGTCTGAGAAAATAAGCAACTAATTTGATTGCTCTCTCTCTTAGTAATTACCATATTGTAGATGACAAGTTATGGCTTTGCGTAGTTTCCGTACGCAATTGCCCCGATCGTTGCCAATACCTTGGAACTGCCTCCACCGTAATTTCCATTGGATCACATTCGATTTTTCAACATTTTCGAATTTCTATTTCCAATCATTTATTCCTCGCTATCGAATTCTCAAATGGGTCATTGTTTATCCATATTTTATTGTTTTTTGTCATATTTTATAATCTGTATGTCCTTTGGGAGAGATCATTAGGGAGTGATTTGGAACCTCTTATCGATTTATTGATTTATGGTATCGATGCACTCCAAGTCGACCCGCTAGAGACTCCGAGTACTGTTTCATCCTAGCCGAGTTTTGTGTGCTTAAGCGGCCGAGGTGCTACGGCAACAGTGTGTGTGTCCGAGAAGAGCAAAACAGAGCTGATCGATCGCCAATGGCTCTTGACATAAGGAAGTAAGTTTTTTTTTCAAGTTATCTTGCATTTTTTCCCGTTTCTCAAACATTTTACTTCCCACTGAAGTTCCTTCTTTTCACCATGAACTTCGAGTACTCAATGGCTCTTTTTTCTAGCTTCCCAATTCGCTGAGTTGCCCAATTTTTTTTATCATCATATTCGTATTCTTACTCCCTTAACACTGCCATAGTAGTAATGGTAGCATCTCGGTTAAGCCCACGATTTTCTGAAGCAATTCAAAAATTGTGGCAAAACGCATCGTTTGGAAATAGTTTTTCAGTCTTGTGTACCTGGTCAATTTTGGAATTGTCAGTTCTTTACAAGCTCGTCCCTTAAAGGTATCCTCTGTGTCGAGTATTTGTAGTGAGATACAGTAGGTTGGAATATTCGTAACATTTTTATGACCAGGCAGTCCTTTTAGGGTATCCACCTTCTCTATAATAATTTGCTTAGTTAAAAAATTTTCCTTCCTCTAGAAACTTGATTTTTTTGCGGGGTTTAGGCTTCGGTCAAATTTGCGAAGCAGGTTTTTTCGACATAGAAAGGTTCAAGGGCCATTGCAAGCTGTGTATGCCACTTAAGGGAACAATTTGCGGTTTGATTAGTTGATGGAAAAACTTACTGTTCCCTGTTTCCTTCACTTTGTGGACTCGTATCGCTCGTTTCCGCAAGCCTTTCTATAAACCTGACGACCACAAAAGTAGTTTTTCCGTTTGAAAAAGTTTTCAAATATTTGCTTAAATAAGGACGTTCAAACATACTCGATCTCAGTTCAACATCTATGATAAACTATGGAGTACTGTGAACATAACTGGAATTGTTTAGATTAGACATTTATCGTAAAGTCCCGAAGGATCTCACGGAACCAACACTTGCTGGTGCCATTATTTCAATCGTATGTGTTGTATTCATATCGTTTATGCTATTCAATGATGTACTGGAGTACATTAACATAGATATGTGAGTTATTTTTCAAATTCCGTTCGTACATTTTATTCTTTTACTGCAATATTGCTGCCATACCATATGGATTGGCTCGTGATGATGCCTGCATCTGAAAATTTATCTCTGTGAACGCTTGCTGCTGAATGATTTTTCTTCCAAAATCTGAAAACCGATGTTTCCAGAGATTCGATAGGGTGAATCGGGTTTACCGTTTAATTGTAACTTTATTTGAGATTTGAACAGAAACCAGAATTGGTCCACCAATTTGATTTTCATTGTTTTAGAGCCACACGATCAGGGTATCTATAACACGGAGTTTTCCATTATACTCCACCTTATGACATTTGGTGGAAAACATTAGAACTATTCCTTGAGAGGGCATTGTGAATGCATGGCGTGATCTTGCAGTTAGGTGTTGGATAACGCTCCGCACCAGTAGTCCCGTCTGAATCGCGATAACTTTCTCAAAGGTATACGGTATACAATCTGTGCAGGACGACCGTGCTAGAATCAGGGCTCACGAAGAAATTTAGTACTGAAAGCGATTCTAAAGGTCGGTATGGAAGGGAATCGTTTTGAGATCTATCTGATCAGTGGATCATAGATTGGCTGTAGACGCCTCTCGGGCCCACTCTATCGATCACTTAGTCCTCGAGTAATATTTAAGTTGAAAGAAACCGCTCTTCCGTATGTTTTTCCTAATTTCACAGCCTCCACTCCCCTTTATTTACGTTCTTTTTTGAGCTCCAAAGGGTCTATGGCTGCACCAAATTTAGTGAATGCTTTTCGAAATTTTGTAACGCAAGGATGTTCGGCTTTCAGGTTGTAGTGCCCTAGCAAATCAAACTTTCTGCAATATCCTATGTGGAATGTGATTTTCGGACCTTTTCAATGGTTTTTAAGCCTCTACGTCTCGTAATAATCGCTTTTTCTAAAACAAAGTTTGATTTCAGTAAAAGTGAGTTATACGTTGACGATCCAGGTCGAGAAGGGAAAATCGATGTTGAAGTGGATGTTTCGTTTCCACACATGAAATGCGAATGTTGGTTGCTTAGTTACTTTTGTTTAGACGAAAAGTAAGTTTAAATACGAAAACTGGTTTGCTTCAGTCCTCGGCGTAGATATACAGGACGAGAATGGGCGACATGAAGTGGGATTTATCGATCGAACCGAGAAGATTCCACTGGAAGACGATGGGTGTCGATTTAAAAGCAAATTTGAAATCAACAAGGTAAAAAGCCTTCCAACTGCGTTTCCGTGGAATAGAAATGATTGCCATATTTGAGGTGCCTGGGAATTTCCACATTTCAACACACTCCGCTGCAACTCAACCGACTAACCCTGATATGCGACATATCATTCACTCAATACGTTTTGGAGACGATGTTTCGGTCAGTTGAGGCCTTTCTCCGACAAAGGGAAGGGAATTGTAGGCCGTCATAAAGTTTTCATAGAAATTGGCATATACTCTGGCAGTGAACCATCAAGTCAATGACTCTTTTTTCACTCACACCACACTTGAGCAATCGATTCCTATACTTTTCAGGACCTCAACGTGAAAGGGAGTTTTAATCCTCTACGCGAGAGAAAGATGCTGGCTTCTGAACCGCTGTCTACACATGAATATATACTGAAGGTAGTTTCTGGAAAAACCAGAATACTATCAAGTAATTACTAGATTTTTAGATAGTGCCGTCAGTTTACGAGGATATATCGGGAGGAATTCGAAATAGTTACCAGTACACGTTTGCTCACAAGGTGAGTCTGAATGCATGTAGAGAACAGACAACTTGTTGCGACGTGAATCGTCTAACTGTTACAATAGTAAAAAGTTGTGGTTTCCGTCTAGTTCTGCAAACTCCTGTTCACACACCCTCCTAAAGTGCAACTCTTTCGTTACATGCAAGCTTATGAAAAACCAGACAGGGGATTTGTTTTTTTTTTTGAGATTCAGACCACAAAGGGACTTCATAGAAGATTGCACTTATTTCAGAGATCGCTCAGAATGCTTGCTGGCTTAGGGCC